ACAACTAAATCTCATCTTCCTGTTTATAATGGGAAGCTGAAGGAGCTTTTTTTTTTTTTTGCTATCCCTACTTCTAAAATACTTGCATGCTGTAAACATTTGTAAGCCATTAGCTAGAACCAACAGCACATGTGGTAACAACAAAAGCTAGGTTTGTTACAGCCATGGGAATTCTTTCCAGCAAAACCACAGAGGTAGGCGGGACAGGATCTCAGGGACCAGCTGAGGCATCACCAGGCAGGGGCAGGTTCACAAACATCCAGACAAAGCTGTAGCAGGTGACTGTCAAACCCTTCCTAAAAGGGCACTCGAGTGAAGGGGAGTCTGTGACCTCCCAGAGCACAGTGCTCAGGGTTAGGAAGCTTCCCTCGTATCTAGCAACTCTTTTTGCCAAAATCCAAACCACAGCTTGTCCTACAATTAGCACACAAAGATTACACAACATCAACAGTTCACTCCTCTCAATCATTTACATACTTGAATATTGTTAAAAAAATATATTTGCCTGACTCATTTGCCTGAACAAATTATTTCCTTCAAGTTCTTCCCAACGCACGCCTTCCAAATTTCTTAAGAATCCTATTACTGTCCTATAACAAATGCCTCCCCCCACCTGTTTATTTTAAAATACTGGGCCCAAACCAGGAATACTGGGGCCTAAAGGGAATTACTATTACCAATTACAGCAAAGCAATTTTCTTTTGGTCTCCTTCAGATGCCGTTAGCTCGCTCAATTTGTAGTACACTACAAGCCCTATTATATTTGTCTTCTAATACCACTTACTCCCTGCTATATACTTCCACATGTTGTGCTTCTAAACTGTAACGGTCCATATTTGTCTCTTGAATTTTACTTCGATAATTTTGGCAGTTTCCTCTAGTTTATCAAGGTCATTTTGAAACAGTGTCCTGTCCATGAAGTGCTCAGAGTTGGAATAGAAACCAAATCTTATCCCTCCATCCCCACCCCCAAATTATTTCTACCCAAAGTTGACAAAACAAATGGCTCTGAATGTTTATAAAGACTGCAGATTAAGTCAAAGCCATCTGATTTGTGGAAAACTCCCATCAGTTGAATAGGTTTTTAAATCAGACAAAAATCTAGTGGGGAAAAAAAAAAATCGTCAACACCTACATAAAAAAAAGCAGGCAGACACCTATTTTTATTTTGTTTTCAATAAAAACCCAAGACAGATGGGGTACTGAAATGACTTCATCTGACTAAAGCACAATGTTAAACAGTAGCAGAAGCTGTGGTAACACTATGTACTGCTTGTAATATACTGGCAGGTGAAAAGATAAACCAGCTAACAAGATAAGAGATACTTTTACCTCACATTTCAGAGATAACTAATCTATACCCTGCATCAGTTTCCTATAGGCCCCATTTTTTCTTATAGCTTTGTACGTCCCTACATTTTTGTGCACATTAAAAAGCATTGGAGGGTTGAAAAAGCAATGTTCCCCAAAACGTGTCAAGATGTACAATACCACCACAACAAACAGAGGCCAAGAAAGCACGCCTCATGCACTTTATTCACAAAAACCGCTGACACCCAAGACAGCATTCCTCCTTTGTCTGTAACGTCTACACCGTTACTAGGTTATTCTGGCTGCCCTGTTTGCAGCTCTGACCAATATAAGGTTTTTAAGTTTCTTCATAGTTACGTGTACTTGTGAGGTTTATCCCTGTATTTCTGTATTTCTGCTGAAAGAACCAAGAACACTTCAATTGCATCCATCCTCTCCCTCCACTCCTAAATCTTTAATTAATGCAAATTCACAGTAAATCAGGAAGGATAAAAAAATAATCTGAGGAATCTCAAATTAGCCAACAGTCTGGTGATTAAGGCCCCCCTTCAGAAGCTAGAAAAATTTGAGCCTGATTTAATAATGCAAGATGATCTTCTATTTGCTTTGGCTTTCACATGCTTCACCTAAGCATCTGCAACAGCCATTGTCAGACACCAGCAAACTTAAGCCTTTAGCTTGACCCAGAATTTATTTTGTTCTGTTCTTAAAAAAAAGTCTTTAAACTAGAACCTGTTTCAAAAGACAATACCATGGACTCTGCTAAATTATGTGCAAAACCTGCCCCAGCTGAAATGCCATGAGAATGCTTATTGCACTGATCTCTTGAGGAGGAAAAAAAGAGATGAAGGAGTACCTAGTTTGCCCATGCAAAGACTGAAACACAAATGGAAATCAAGCTGCTCAACACCCTCAATGCTCAGCTCCAAGTTTCACCTTAAAAATTAAGTATATCAAGTACCTACAGATGATGTTATGCGCCTCTAGAACTGGAGAATAACAGAGCAGCGTGCTTTAGGTCCTGCATTTTGAAACCAGGCAGTTACGTCCCACTTGCATGTAACCTCTTCCAGGGGCCCAGCCTTCAACTAGTAAAGATAATGGGAGCATAGATGCTGAGCACAACAGAAATCCGTAGGAGGGGGAAGGGCAAAAAACACACCACAAGAATCATTTCAATACCCCAATAATTTTCATGTTTTAAGAAGGAACTCTTTTTTTTAATATTGCAAACCTCAAATTTTACCCAGTTACACACATTCATTTTCATGATTTATACAATTATTGCATAAGACTTGTGGTCATTTACATCTTCCAGTACAAGTGACATTAGGTACCACAATTCTGTATTAAATTCTAGTTACACTTTCAGTCAATTACACAAATGTGAAACAAGAACAAGACTAAGACTATTCCGTTCAGAAAGCCTTCTTCACATTTGTCCAGATGCAATAACGGAGGTATTTGTGATGTTTCTGATAATCCCACACCAATTTGTGCTACTTTGGTAGATTGTAGTGGAATGTAACGGCAAGAAAAAAAAAAAAGCCCAAACCACAAAAACCTTAAGAGACAAAAAAAAAAACCCACCAAACTTGCTGATAAGAACTGCCCACTTCCTTTTCGGCAAGGCAAAGCTACTTCAAGTATTCAGAGAAGCGGAAAACAAAAATAATGGTTTTTTTCAGTAAAAAGGTAAAATAGACTATTTAATATCTGTTAGTAAGAGCCAATAAATTGGTGGTAATGATTACATCATGCTAGAAGGAGCAGAAACCATCCTGACAAAGCCATACTGAAAAAAAAAACAAACTCAAACCTAGAAAAGCTGTGTGCTGATGCCTTTATTTGCCATGATATGTGTTCTAAGTGCATGACTGAAAATAACCATGGTAATGCCACTGACACCAGTGCAAGTGAGTTATTGGGTGGATTATTCTGGAACAGAGACGAGCCTGAACACAGACAAGACCATGGCTTAAGAGGCAAGATTACAAAAGTAAAGAAAGATTGCAGGAGTAGCTCAGAGCTCAGTTCAGATTTGTTCTACGCATATGCAAGCTACAACACATATTTTGTTCCACAACACAAGAAAAGTATAAGCAGGAGATAAAGAAACAGACAAGAATCACTACGCAACTTCTGCCTTGTTGTCTCACTGTTCAGAAACATGCTTTTGAGCTCAAATGCACCATCATCCCAGATACCTTCCTCTCCCTTATGCAGGAAAGAAAAAAAAGACAAATGATGAAAAAAGAGGAGGAAAAGTATGCAGGATGACTGCTTGGCACTTTTGAAAAATGTTTTGTTATCTAAAAAAGGCTCAAGTAACTTACAAATAGTAGCAGCGTTTTACGGTCAATTACCTTCCCCAAGCCTTTGTCAATGCAGAGATGATCACAATAATGTCTGTTTTGGTGACAAGTGTCTCAATAGCAAGGCAGCACCCCAAGGGGTACTTTCATTTTTACATATAAAAATAGCAGTTGGGATTGATTCCATTCTTCATAGCGATTTTACTAGTTATGTGACAAAGATGCAAACAAAACCCCCTTTTTTAGAAGAATACTAAGGGATAATTCAAAACACGTGGACATGGCTTACTGTTAACTCTCCACTTTAGATTTGTTGACAAAGTTACTTACCCAAAAAGTATTACCCAGGTGAAAGTTAGTGGTATACAGCATGTGGTCATTAAGCCATAAAAGAATGTGATCTTGCAATACTGGTTGAGCACTTTCAATTCCCAGACTCGAATGAAAATCTGAACTGCTAAGCACTTCGATTATCCCATTCAACCTTTCTTTCTCCCCCCCCCCCCCCTTTAACTGGGAGACTCAGAGTGATCATGGTGCTACATTCCAGCCAAAGTTCATTCCCCTCAGCTTTTTCATGGAATACGATACAGTGTAGAACAGGACTTGGAAGAAAGCAAAAGGAAGAGGTTCACTAAAAAGCAACATGAGAATATTTACTCTAAAAGAGCTCTCCATTTTACCACACTGAATGGAGCCATTGCACTCATGGTTTTCAAAGTTATAACTGCTCTCAAAGTTACCAGCATGATACAACCAGCACGAACGCTAGATCAAAAACAAAGAAAAAGAGAGGATGTGCGAAGTCGGCAGTCCCTGTTACTAAGGTGAAATTGATTGTGTTCTGACGTGATTAACTCCTGAAAATGTGGTAAGATATGCTGGTGTCACATTTCAATAAAAATAGTGTTTCAGCTCTTGCTACATCTTGAGGATTTTGTTCTAGTCCTGCCTAATCCATCCATGAATTGCAGGGCACAGTTCCATTTTCTTGTGCTGAAAAAAGTAGCAGGCTTAGTGGTCACAGAGTTCATGTTTTAAAGTGCACTGTCATTTTAAACACACTTTCCCTTCTTAAAAAAAAAAAAGGAAATAAAACATTCCGATATCAACAGTTTATAAAAATAACAGCTGCAATATTCTTCTAAAATTGAAATGTAAAATCAAGTCAAATTCGCAAGATTCAAATCTTTTTCAAAAAAAAGATATGAACCAAAAATAAAAAAACTTTCTGCAGAGAATTGCCAAGCAAAACCTCACATACTGTCCTACAAGCCTCTCTCCTAACAGCACCTCACAGAAAATCCATCCAGTTTCTTCCAACTGACAACCTCAAGAAAACAGAGGTCTACATAAACCAGTCCTTCCCACCAGTCACCTACATAACTGCAGGTGTGGATGCTGGTGCAGTTTTTCCATCAACTCTTCCTCTGTAGGTTCTTCCAAAACATCTCTACAAAGAAAAAGCATGAGTTGTTAGGGGCAGCAAAGGGAACTTCTCTGCATTTGTTTTTGCAATGCACATACTGAGATGTAACGTGTGCTTGTTTCAAGAATGAAACAAGGAATTAAAGTTACAATAAGTTGATGCTCCCTAAAGATGCATCTACTTGCAAGTGATCCATCCTTTACAGATGTGTCATGGAAACCAGCAGCTGTTTTCCCATAAGAAGCAGGGAAGCAATTTCCTGCACACAGTACAATACAACTGAAGGTCAGTAGATTTGTTTTCCTGAAGAAACTCCCAAATGAGAACATGTTCCCAACGCTACTATTGAATATCCAACGTGCACCAGAAGTTCCACTTGTACATGATCATCAAGTATCAACTCACCACCCACAATTTCATAATAAGCCAAGAACGTGCATCACTTCCCTCATCTTCCCTTTTCTCCTCTCTCAGCACAGCCCCCCTCCCTCGCCCCCAACACCTCTTCTCCCATCATGCTATGGGCAGAAAGCATATAAAGGTTAGGCTACCGAGTCAGCTTAAAGCAGGCCTAACTAAATCACTTACTGAATTTTTCCAAACTAACAGATGAAACAGCTTGGTTCGGAGGGAGGAAATGGAAGACAAGCCTTTTACCCTCTTGCAGCCAGCACACTTTCTTTAAAACAGACGAACACAAAAAACTAGATCGGTTATCAAGCTCAGTTCAACTCACCTGAACATTAGTTCAACTGTCCTCTGGTATTCAATATCCGAAAGAGGCTCTCGATGACAGCGACGGTCCCACTTGTGAATAAAGTTCTGAAACGCAAAAGGAACAGGAAAAAACCTAGAGGCTACATCTGGTGACATCGGAAAAGAAGTTATATCAGGTCAATATGTTTGTGGGTAAGGTTTGGGAAGGTGGTGAGGTTTGTTTTTAACACAGAGTGTCAGAGCAGTGATTTATTTAGGCATCAGCGTATTTGTTGGCTGCAGGTCACTACTTTATACAAGCCTGTTGTTCAGGAATGAAATAACTTTCTCATCACACACTGAAAGAACAGGAGAGCAGAAGACAGCCCTGCTGCCTTCTACTCCTAGCAAGGACTGCCTCCCCCAGATAACTGTGTGAACTACTCACAAGAGTTCACCTACTTGGAATTTTTTCCTTTTTAAAAAGCCAATATACAAACATACTCCTAGTCCAGGCATCTCAGCTTAAACTGAGCTTCTGGTTTTGTGACGTTCCCTTATCCATTTTTAAGTACTCTGGCAAATCAATACCTAGGGAGTAAACAGACAACTCGGGCAAAAAAAAGGGAGAACAATAGTGACATCCTGCTCTCCTGCTACAGAATGCTACATCTTGGCTCTTACAGCAAACTTTGGCCACAGCCCTGCAGAAGTGAGCAGGTAGAAGACTTCATAGGATTAACCTCCAGCTAGAACAGAAAGTCTTTTCTGAAACGCTCATGGGCAAGACAGGCTCAGCGTGAGCCTCATACCTAAATTTCTGTCTAAAAGTTCACCATTCTGCCTAAAGTAGTAAATTTTAGTTCTCAGTGCAGTCAACAACAAGAGCATCTCCAAAAGAAGTTTTCATAGGTTTTAAGATGGCGTGAAGTGCCCTCTACAGGTACTCAGTTTCCTCCATTACTTATAAGAGAAGTCTACGCTGATTAACCTGGAGTAGGTGGCTGTGATTAACATTCCCTTCACCATCAAAAATTCAAGAGGTACTTGGATTTCAGAGAAGTATGCATACATGAGAAACCAGCAGAACTATATGTTCCTCATAGCATTGCTTAGGTACCTACATTTCTACAGCTTCTTTAAAAAACTCAAGAGGATGATCTCTTCAAAATAAGTCATCAGTTCCACTCTTCTAGCTTGGAACTGAATAAGGGTAGTAATTCAGATTGCAGTGGGAAGAAACACAGGAAAACCAAACAAAATAAAAATGTAAAATTTAAAGCATTTGCTCACAAATCAAAATGCAAAAAGCCTGCAGCTTGAATAACTAATGCTGAAGTTAAATACTAATGTACAAGAGACAAGCAGTTTTATAATACTTAAAATATTTTTCATCTTTATAGAGAGCGGGCTATAATGACAAATGTACACACCCAATGAAACACAACGAGATTTGGAACAAAGTTGCAAATAAAATATAAAATTGTCTAGGAAAAAAAAAAAAAACATCTCGGGGGAAGGGCAGCAAGGAGACAGATTAAGTAAGCACATGCACAAAACGAACGTACTTTTCCAAAAAAGTTGTTTGCGTTCTTCTCATTTCCCACACAAATTAGAACCTGTCTTCAGGATCTAATACCAAATAAACGTGCTTCCTTACCTCTAGAAGTAAAGCTACGAAGAGATTAACCCAGATGACAGAGGAGATCAACCACCAGGCTACAAAATAGATCTTCGCCCACCTGCAGATCAGGTTAACAGACAGTAAGTAAAGTAGGCAGTAAGTAACCTCAGCCTGAAAGTGACCAGAGAGAGCCATGAAATCACGTTTTTCCTTGAAATATAATATTACTCCTTTCTTAATGTAAAAGGAGGTCTGGAACAAAAAAAATAAAAAAATTTTAGCCTTTCATTAAGTTAGCCAAACAGACTCACTCCTCCCACTTGACATACCTAATTGAACGCTGAAGGAACAGAAAAGCAGCCTAGTAGAAGTTGTACTGGATCACAACAAAAAGATCCATCTAGGCTTGTACCCTCCGAGAGCAGTCAAAAGCAGAAGCACAGCAAAGTGCAAAACCATGGCAAAATACCTAAACTCCAAGTGCTCTCCCAATCTCCAACCATTTGCAGTTCAGAGATTTCCTGAGCTAGAGGTAGCTTCCATTCATCGCAGATCCCAATGGATTTCTCTTTCACAACTTGTCCAGTCTTCACCAGACCACGTTAAACTGTTATCACACACAACAGCCTATGGAAGAGCATTTCGCTTAACTTAACTACATGCTGGGTTAACCAGCCAAGGATCACTGGAACAGCTCAACCCAGAAGCTATCCAGTTCATTCAAACATTCCCATAAAGTAATTAAATGCAAATGAAAGATATGTCCAAGGTTTTAAGTCTACAAAAAACCGTTCACCCACAGGGAAAATACAGAAGCAGCCCAAAATGAATTATAGCAATACACTACTATCTCACATCTGTGAGATCGGCTCTACAGCGAAAGCCGCCCACCCAATACATGTTGCAAGCCTGTTTATAATCCACTTAAGTCATTCACTCTTTTTTGGAACAAGATGACTACCAAGCCAGTTTCCAATCCCTTCTAAATGTGACCACGGATTTCGTGGCATTCACCAAGTACCAGACCGACCATCAAGTTACACAAGTTAAAGAACAGCCACGAAGCACTAAGTCTATTTCCTACATACCTGAATTGACCCAAAAGAAAGGCAAGCAGGACCCCGCTTCCCACATGGTAGGAACTGTGCTACGCATATAACCCCTTCTCAGTTACCTTATAAAAGAGATTTATGTGGGACTTTTTCAGTATTATTACTGCTACTTACGGACTTGAATATCTTGAAAACGCTTCCAAAAAGACTTGCCAGTTGTTCACCACCATTACATCCCAGAGGGTCACCACTGCTGCCTAAATAACGTGAGTAAAACAGAAGTTAAGCAGCTATATCACACACTTAAACCTCAGCAAATGAGGGGAAGAGACAAGCAAAGAGGGAGTCATCGAAGTTGTTCGGCCAATATTCCAACTGTTCATAGGTCCCACACTGCAGAGTGCTGTTATCATATGTCGTATTGACAGCACTGTAAGGGAATTACAACCTGACATGAGCGCAGCTTTCTACACACTGTACCTTAAAAACAAGTTCTTCTGAGCGCCTTATAGAAAGTTAAGTATCTCATATGGGCAGAAAACAAAGGAAATAATTAAGAAAGTATTTAAACTACAGCAAGGTAAAATTTCAAGCTACAGATTAATGCTCCTGCAATTTCAATACAGCAAGAAGAAACAGAAGGAGTAACAGACGAAAAAAAAGTCTGTGTGATTTAACATTAAAAGAAGGGTGGCTCCAAGAATAAGCGGGGGGGGGGAACACAAAACAACCACAAACAACTCAGAGGTACTGAGTTGCAGACGCTTTTGGAAAACAGATTCTGAATAGTGATGTTTAGAATGTTACCTGATGTTTCCCAAGGGAACAACAGCACCTTTAAATAGCATTATGCCGGTTAAAGCAAATGTATAGAAAACAACCTGGAAGGAATATAAGCAAGTATTAGTTTTGAATAATTCTGTCACTAAATAAGAAAACAATGCAATTAACATGGAGTTCATATTAGGACCACAGTTAAACAGATTTGGTCAAGAACAATGCCTGAAGCTATTAAAGGGAAAATACTTCTCAATGTCTGCATTACTTAATTGGTTGCTCTTACTTTTTAATATTTTATTTAAATTTCAGTTGTTAAAATGCATTAAATCATTTTCCTTTATGATCTGTTTTACTTTTCTGTGTCTCAGAATGCTGATATTTAACTATTAACACTGCAGAATAGTGACTTAAAAAACAAAACCAAAAAACAATAGCTGTATTTACAAGGAATAATCTAAAAATCTGGGGAGCTTTCTGCTAGATTCAGTGAAAATAAACTTTTACTAAACCTAACTGAAGGACAAAAACAAGTCACTATTTTATATTACACCAGCAACTTGTTTGAAGATGTTATATTAGTCTAAAAATAGAGGTTTCAATAACACGAAGGATTTTGGAACTTCTGTCTTTTACTTGCTAGAAATGCAAACCTCTCTTTAAAGAGATACCTTTCACTGTCTTCAGCAGTTGCCTTGGTGATTTTACAATTTTTATCCTAAAAAGATTGTTCTAGAAATAACCTACAACTTCACTCCTCTGCTTAAAGAGCCATTTGTCCTAGGATGGCTTGAAACAAGCTGAATCTTCAAATGAAAACGTCATTAGTCATATTTCTGTATATTGCTACACCACAGACCCAAGAGGGATGTCTGGGAGGAGTAGAAGAGAGACTGCTCTGACCTATGAACCACAGCACTTTGAACAGTACTGGAATAAGCTGAAGCTGACATTCCACAGCCTGCCAGAAGATGGAGTATCTGGCTTGACAATAATAAAGTTAGTTTTATTCTTTGAGAAAGATAGGCCCAAAACATGCACTGCCTAATAAATTAGCTAATCAGTTACATTACTTTATCAGCCTGTGTTCCAGGCTAACATTAGGAAAGATGTTTTGCATCAGCTGGTAACGGAGTCAGGCTTCACTACGGTAGAAGCTCAGTGGCAGCTTCTATGTAGCCTCAAGTAAAAGCAAGTTAAATTAACGGAAGTAGCAAACACCGTGGCAGACTTGCCTCACAATTGGTGCAAAACCACAGTTCACACTCCTGGCACTAAGGACAATCAGCAGCAGACACTTAAACCACTTCAGAAGTGTTATGTCTTACATATATGGGTAGGGACATCACATTAAAACACTATCGCATAATTCCTAAAAATAAAATCGAGCATATTACTACAGGCTCCTGCCATCTTAGCTATGTCTTTCAGGAATTAAAAGAGCTGCCGGCAGAATGCTACAGCCCAGGTGCAGCCACTCTGGTAGCAACACAGCTTTGGGGTCCTAGCATAAAGCACAACACAGCTCACCCCATAATGGCTCTCTCCCAGGGCTCTGACGTATGGGCTCTGTCAGATCCAGCAGCAGCCGTGTGAATCCCTGCCTCCCCCACCTATCCACACCACCACCCTACCAGCCTCTGAGAGGGCTGACAAGCAATCGTGCACTCCTTTAGCATGGCGTACGCACTTAACCACGACCTGGCAAAATTAGCAAAACTGCAGTCAGCCTTTAGACAGCTGGCTACATTGAATAACAAATTGAGTAATGAAAAGCTTTTCATTATACTAAAGCTGTTGCTATCATATGCAAGATTGGCATTTAGGCTCCTAAGATGTACTTTCATCTGCAAAGGCTAACTTCCCATTTCATGCACTCCCAAGGTATTTCTCAGTTTCAAGAGTAGGTTCCAGTGGCAAGCGTGACTTGCACAGCACAACAAAGTTGTTAACAACTTAGCTTTGCCCAAACCAGTATCTTTATTTCAAGTTGCAACATAATCCTTTCCAGACTGCAACTTAAGGCCTCGCCCCGATAAAAGCAGGTATTAGTAATGACCAAAACAGATATTCTGGATAAGTTGCATGCTAAGTATACAGACCAGAACAACTTTTTAGACAATACCTAATACACAGCAAATCTTTGGTCTCTAACCATTATCTCAAATTAAAGTATCCAAAAAAAAAAAAACCCCGACCAAAAAAACAACCAAAAAACACAAAACCACAAACCAACCACAAACACCACAAAAAGCCACCCAGGCACTCATTTGCTCTACCAAGAAGACATCATTGCAAAGCCAGAAACTCAAGAGTTGGGAAACGGAGGATTTATGTAATGGACATCGCACATTGTAATCCCCCCTTTAATCACATGTTTATGGACTATATGCTCTACGCAGACACACCTAAAACAGGATGGCAGAGGCTTTTAAAAATCACCTTCAAACATGACATCTCAACACCTTCCAACTGAAAACAATTTTAACATTGTTTTGCTATTTAACATAAGCAAGACAGAGTAAGAAAAACTAGGATACTTTTAGCATCAGATTAATTTTTAATTGAAACTAGAGTATCCAGCCTGAGGCAAGCATTCTGAGGAAGTTTGAAATAATCTTTTAAAGGCGCTCCTAAAGCAAACTGATAAATGAGGCACTGTCACTGTGTGCAGCCCGTAACAAAACGGTAGTTTATTGCAGCTTTGCAAGACATGTCCTGGAGAAGAACTGGCTGATAAAAGGTGAAATGCTACTGTTCATGGTGATTGTCAAAAGAACCTGGTTTACTTTGTTGAAGACAAAGTAAACTTATTATACTGCTAACTATAAGAAAGGAAATTACAATCTTGCATCATGACTTACCACAAGGATTCCTGCAAAGGCCCTCAGGTTTTTTACCAGATCCAGCAACGTAGTAACAACCAAAGCCATGAACTAAAACAAAGCAGATTTTATATGTATGACATTCATCACACTTCCAATCCGTATCAAATAATTTTTACTAAAAGGACAAAGAATTACCAACCAGGAAAGTGAGCTACATCTAAATGCAGGTCATCTTTTACACAGTGATATTTCCATATTTAAGATGAATGAAAAATGCTGCACTCCTTTTCACACACAGATATTATGCTAAGTTTTAAATATAGACAGGCACTGTGACTTAAAGGGCTATACGCCTAATAAGACCAGAACGGGGGTGTGGAATCACAAGCGCCCCACAGCTCCAGATTGACAGCTTCATATTTGATCCACATCATTTCTAGTTTACACTTTCCACTGACATTATGATCTCTGATGACATCAGGCAGATATTTATGGCTTATTGAACTAAGCCCTGCATCTGATATTAATTTGGGCTTAGCTTTCAAGCAAGTCTAAATGCAGGATTATAACAAACAATCAAACAACTCTAAAGTGATTTCAGATTCAAGTACGGGTATTCTGGTGGAAATACCCATACTTGGAAAGCGGAAAGAGGGATTCATTCCAAATAATCCTTTGTATGACCAAAACGTCTGGCAGTATCTAGCAAAAGCACCTCCCGAGTACCAAGTTCTTCAAGGACATCATATCCACTCATCTAATTAAGGCTGAAGCACTACACAAGTTCCACATGTATTTCTGGATGTGTTTACCCACTTTAGAACACCAGCGTCAATTGCAGCGACACCAACAGAACCTCCCTCCCACCTCAACAGAGAAAACCAGCTGAAGAGAGAATGAGTTTGCAAGGTGCTGTGCAATAGCCTGGACAGTTCGAGCTGAGTTATAATCCCACTCAGGTGCAAGAGAATTGCAGTCTACTACATGTTATTCTGAAAAGCTTTAACAAAATTTATAATTTGGCCAACAGAGAAATCAGAAGTGTGAAGGGATAAACAAACACCTTCATATTAGGAATAATCCGCAGGAACCTGAACACAATTAACATGTTCACCAATCGCACCATATCCCACAGGGATAACAAGCCCACGAATTCGGGTCTCCTAGGAAAGATGGAAGAAAATAACAAATCAGAGAAACAGCCCATGACAGAAAGACACAGTTAAATCTACTGGGATGCAGGTAACTGTAAATTCCCTACAACTTTTGGTTAACATCCATAGCATATTTAAAAAAAAAAAAAAAAAAAAAAAAGGAATTTTATATCCTCACGTAATCACTTTTTACAACCTATGACTGACTAGAATACTGCATCCAGTTTTGGAATCCCCAATATAAGAAACAGACAAACGGCAGCAAGATCAGCAGAGAGCCAACAAGACGGTCAGGGGCTGATGCACCTGCCCTAAAAAGAGAAGCTGCAGGACCCAGGCTTGTTTAGTCTGGAGAACCCTGCTCCAGGAGGATCTAGCAACAGCCTTCTAATACTTACGAAGTAGTCCTCAAGACAGAAGCAAGGCTGTTTAATGGTGCATAGTAGGAGGGCAAGGGACAGTAGGTCTAAGCTGAAACAGTGGAGGCTCACACTAGGTACAAGGCAGACCTGAAGAACTTGTCAACCATGAGGACAGCAAGACAGAGGCACAAGTCAGCCAGAGAGGTTGTGCAAGTCTCCGTCACTGGAGGTTTTCGAGTCCCAGCTGGATAAAGCTTTGAGTAACTTGGTCCAGCCTTGCTTTGAGCAAGTGGCTGGACTAGAGTCCTCCTGCAGTCCCTTCCAACCTGAATTATCCTATATAAAAATCTACAAACTGTAAAAGGAAGTACATTGATTTACTCAGCAGGCATCTCAGCTACGGTAAACTCTAATAACTGATGAAGGAAACGATCCATTTAGCCTGGGCTCTTAAATATGCATGTAGTGCTCTTTAAAGTGCATGCTTGTAGTAAACTACTTGGGTAAGTGGCCTTCCTTCTGCTGAGGGGGAGGCACCAGAGAGAGTCCTTTCAGAAAACAAAGCAAAACAAAAATGCTGCTATAGCAAGATACTTCAGGAACTTGCACGAAGATGTGCATTAATCCTTCAGGGCGTGCTTGGCTGAAGCGACACTTCAAAGAGAGCACTAAGCTAACAGACTGTCTTGCCAACCTTCTCTCTTATATGCGTATTCCACAGGTGATATACACACACTTCAAATCGCAGCCTGAGTTTTAGTTGACTTACATCAGCATGCTGGATGCTTCTTTGTTGGAAAGGTGGGCAGGTGGGGGGGATGTGGCGAAAGATGTTAACAAAAACCTCCTTGGTAACACAGATGCTAAATCACAATTTGCATCACCAATATATTCAGCTCTAATAATAAAATAAATCATTTAAGACAATGCTGCATAGAACGCATATTCTAGAATAATAGTCACATCTTAGTCCTGTCCTGAAGATGTTACATCTACAGACGAAGCATTTGCCAACACCACACACCACAAGCAACGTCAGGACTCGGAATGACTCATCTGGGTTATAATCTGTTTGCCGCGACTGACACAAAGATCTAACAAGTATTACTGGTGCTTCAAGATACTATTGTAGTACAAACAATCGTCTACATTCAAGAATCAAAAGGCAAAAATCAAACCCAAATACAACCAATTATAAGTTAGAGCAACACTTAATGCCATTAGATTGTTAGCAATTAATATTCTTATGGCAACTATCGCTTTTGAGTGACAGGAGTGCAAGAAGTGTTCAAAAATAAACCCATTTCAAGCTGCAATATCTTCCAGGTCTCTTTGCAGATACTAGTGTAACTTAAAGTACCTTCTTGATTGCAACATAACAAATATCCTGAAAAAATTAGGGAGAGTCAATGTCTTAAGAGGGAGCTTGTATAAAGAAACAAAAGTATCATAATATGTTATAAATCACCCCTGAAAGTAAGATTCAGGAAATCTTCCAGAAGTCCTTTGCTTTCCTCTTTTGTTGTAGTGGCAGTTTTCAAATTTTAAGAGGCAAAACAATGATTTTTATGCTTTTGATAATGAAAAAAAGATCAAGACAGTTATCCAAGAACTGCTTGAAGTTAAGAAAAATCGTAATACAATTGCTTGCTATTCCACTACAGATAAATAGTTTAAGTCGATGGGAATTTTTCTATGAAATTTTACAGCACAAAACAAAACTTGGACTCAATCTACATACAGGGTTGAAGGGGCTTCACCAGCTGTTTAGGAATTCATATAACTGGGCTTATGGACAATCTGATACTGAAACATATTAGGTTAGTAGCTGGTTGTGTATGTTGTACCAAATTCCTTCATGCACCTTTAGTAAGCGTAGGTCTGCTAAATTATTATTTTACATCAGATTACAAGTAATGAAAATGCATCCTTCTCAGAATAGCTAAACAGGACTCTAAGTTTTACAAAAAAAAATTAGTAATTTTCTTTCACTTATCCATATTGCATGGCCTCTAGTGACTACAAAGGTGAGAAATTCTACTAGGCTTGGTAAATTATGGACTTGGCTGACGATCATAGTGCAATGACATAAGCACGTATGAGCATGTGTGTATATTACGCTGACCCACCCCAGATACTGAGCAAAGTGCAACAGTTCACGGAGATTACGTACCAACCAGGATGAGGAAATTTGTACACAGCAAAAGTTGCAATCTCCAAAACCTTTTGTTAGGGAAGAAAAAAAAAAAAAAAAAAGGTCAAAACCTTATTTTGTAATTTTGACTTGCAAAAATTACATAAGTTTCTTGACAGGAAGCATTTTCAAGATCTTTAAGCTGCTAATTTAACTCACTTTAAAGCTCTGAAATTGTCATATTTGACTAGGTATTCCCCAAATTAATCCAATGTACACACATAATCCAATGGTGACACATATAAGGATATACAATCAATTACGTTAACTATGAATTTGGCCTCATCTGCCATATGGGTTTCAGGCTTTTACCAAATAACGATAATAATCATCTGCCACTTTTTTTTTAATTCAAAAAGCCAAGTGATTTTTAGCTATGTAACAGAATTCCTTATGTAATTACTCCAAGAGCTGAATGTTTCTAAATAACATTAAAAAGGCTGCTTATAAGAAAGCTCACCTTTTACATCAATTTTAAAAAGCCTACCTCCAGAAACGAGACCCCAAGAGAACCACTTGCCACCAAAACGTTCAAGCCACTGAAAACCACAACACTAGCTCATGCTATTTAACTCAATGTATTAGTGTTGAATAAAAAGCAATTCCAGTAGCTCTTGCAGTTCCTAATCATCCTAGTCAACAAATCCAGGAATACAGAAGTTAAAAAAAAGCTTACCAGCAAAATTACAGTCAGAAGTCCATCAAATCTATTGCTTGGGTATGACAAGTATCTTTTCAAGCCCATTGCTAAGATTTTCAGTAACATTTCCAGCAGATAGTATAGGATGAAGAAGCAGTTGATAGCCTTCACCCCCAAAACAAAAATAATTATTAGAATTATTGACACCTCAGGGAACAGCAATAACTGTAGGAATACTGTTACATCTTACCCCCAAGAAGTAGTCATCCCTTTCAGATGGCTGCTTATCCGCATCCATCACCAAAACCACCTTAAACAAGAAATATTTTATGAATCCACTGCTTTACTGCTGCATAAAACAGTTTAAGCACAAGAACAAAACACAGTTTTTTATGCTTTGCACAGACGTTTTCAAGCAGCTCCGAATATATTTAACTGCAGGTATTCTCTCCTAAGACTGCATGACTAAAGCATGCCAAACATCGACATCTGCTACAAAAAGCAGTTATTAGAACAGAGACTAAAGAACAAAAACAGATCAGAAGTTTGTAGCAGGGAAAAAAAAAACAAACACAAAAAAACCAAACCAAAACAAAAAACCTTTTACTTACACAGATAGAAACAATGTTTGCAAGGGCTACGACATTCCCCACATAGCCAAAGTAGGGATGGCCAAAGGCAAACTGCATTTTCTGCATAAAATGGGATTGGTACTCTGGACTGGGAGGATGCTGAAAAGAACACAAAGGATTCGCTGAGACACAAAGCATTAGCATTTTAATAATGATGCAGGAAAACCACATCCAATCGCAGATTTAAGAAACAGACATTTTCAAAGCAAAACTTCAAGGCCACATGCTAATTTTGACATTTCACTAGGAAGGTGTTTTCAAGTTCTGGCTATTAGCAGCAAGAGATCATTGCTGATTAGCAAATGGGTTGACAATTATGGCACAACACAAGATAATGGCAAAGAAGGGAGATAATCCAACCTCTCTCCAATGCCCCAAGCAGGTAAACTGAACACCAAGCTACTAATCGTTCACATTCCTTCCCCATTTCCCAACATTTAATCTCTCAAAAGATTCAGAAGTCTTAGTTACATGCAAACATAGAAAAGAACATTTCCTAGCCCTCAAGAAGTTTGGGGGTTTTTGTGGTTTTTTTTTGTTTTTTGGTTTTTGTTTTGTTTTTTTTTTTTTAATGTCTTTCTCCAAGTGGAAAAGACTGCTTTCTGCCCATCTTCATCTGAACACTTAAAGAATCCACATTGCATTCTTCATTCAGGGACTGGAGAAAAGACTTTGCCCAAGTATAGTTAAGCATTACCCTGCAAAGACTAATATATAGCAGAGATGCATTGCTTTAATATAGGACTGTCACAACAAGACAAATCCCTTGCATGTCATCAAAAACAATTTACTACAGAGGTACTCATTTCTCCTTAGCATTTTTCAGAAAGTCTATGCTATAAGTCTAACTCCGATTCCTTGTTTTCTTGTAACAAATCTCCCTATTAAACAAAAGACACACACAGAGCCCTCATCTATTTTGTCTGGCCAAGTTGCTTAAAAATGCTGACAGAACAAACAATCGTGCATTTTGTATATTTAACACTACCTGGCAATCCCAAACTCATGTTGTAAAAGCCCCCAGCAATACCATTTGCAACCATAAGAGCAATCCACGAACAACTTAAAAATCAATTACACTCATGCCCCACATTCATCAAGTTGTGAAGTTTGTTTATAAGCTTTATAGTGGAATATTATCACTTATTTTTGTGCAAGACCACACTCAACTTATGACACTTTATAAATGGTCGTCAGATACATACTTGCCTAATGGCATCTTTGTCTAGTTCTTCAAAGAGCTTCTGAAACTGGACAGCTGACAGTTGGTCACAGGAGCACGTTGTGAGTGACTTCACATGAAAGAGAAACATTCAGATCAACACCTGCAATAAATGCATCTTCAAACAGTGCCAACACCCTCAGACTATCTACCTTAGAAGTCTATGAATAGAGATGCAATACAACCTACACCAAAGTATTAGCGCGAGCTTTGATATTGCTTTGTGTTAACACAAAACTGCCACATGACCGTGGGATTTGCCTCACCTTTTCTATTTTCCCTCTCTGGGATCACATCCTGCTTAAGAAGGAGCATGCTCTTTTGATATACTTGAATTTTAAGTCTCATCTAACATTGCCATTGCTATGTTATGATCCAAGGAATGAAGATACTACATCAGCATCAGTGTTCTGCGGAAGTTACTACCTGGAAGGATGGAATTATTTTCCAAATTGTAACACGATGAAGACAATTCCATGGCACGCTAAACACTAACTGCAACTGTAGCACACAGCAACAAAAGAAATGAAAACTCCACCAGCAACAAGAAGAAAAAGTAAAACCTGGATTTGTGTACCTAATTAATAATGCAATGGACAGCTCAGCATAATTACAGAGCAGGGTGCTTATTTTCAGACGACTCTGCTTACACAACCCCTATCCCAGTCAACAACGGGAAGTAACACATGTATACTTCTTCATTCCACTTCCAGCCTTCACATTGGAGCCAGCCAACTGCTGGTGCTATAACCATCAGCTCTGAACTGTCACTTCCTTCTGGCAGAAGATGTTACAATACGGACTTCCAAATCCTGCTGCAATGTTGTTCTTAAAAAGCTACGTTACTTTTAGATAATTTTTCTGAAACCACACCAATAACCTCCACATCTCCTATTAGAGCTAAATTTCTCTAATCTCTGAAAATTGTGGCACGAACTGCAACGTCAATCAAGCCTTTAGTTAAGCAAAACCACTCTCCTTGCAGCCTGATACAAATATTAATAGCTACAGGGAGCAGCACAGCTAAAATCCAATAAAAAGACATTTTCAAATGGTAGAGGGAAGCTGCTACAGACAGCAGCTCTAGACCACAGTGAGAAATGCTTTACTTCCAGAGAGAAAGTAAAGCAAATGAAAAAAAATCAGCTCTGCAAAACAAGTTTTCATTACTCTACACGTCTTTACAGGCGAATGCATTCCTCATCACACCAACCAAAGATGTAGCAACCTCAAGGTGAAATCATTGCCTAGAGACTGTTTTTGTTCTGAAGATCAAAACATAAACAGACACTGAGCTGGGCCTCTCTTCACACTCTTAAAGAAAGCAGCATAAAGAAAGCTGAGCTGAAAGCTACTACTCCTAGATCAATGGTGTGATTAAGGCAATTTTAGCCCTCTGTCCCATCAGAGGGTTTGATAGTCACCAACATAAAGACTAAGAAAATATAGTTCTTACTCTCATGATGGCTTGCTTGCAGCGAAAATCCATGTCAACTTTCTGCAGCACTCGTAGTAAGGCCCCAATGCTGACATACGACCTATTGAAAAGAAAACAGGATGGGCCCTGAAACAGATAACTGTCTTGAGGGCGAAAATAGCTGTTCCAAATACATTCCTGCCTCTTTTTTTTTTTTGAAAAGCAAATAAAATTAGAAGTAGAAATAAAAAGGAAACAGACCCCATAAGAGTCCCAAACAGCCTATTATAAACATCCAGTTAAAGAAAAATAAAAGAGATGAGCAACAAACTGCCATTTTTCAAGAAGGGATCCTCAGTAAATACACTAAACAAAACAAGACGATCAAAAATCTTTTCTTTTCTCCTAGATAATCTACTGTTTCAACATTCTTCACTTACTGTTGTGCATTAGCAGGAGTCTCTTTCAGGGAAGAAAGCACTTCAAACGCAGCCCGGATTCCCAGTCGCCTCCTGAAGAGGGAGGACTGAACCGATTTCTGGACGGTAAGAACACCACAGAGGAAACAATTTACTTATACTTGTTTAAAGGAAATTCAACTAGATGATATAAATAAGACCTGTAAGTTATTTGCCCAGCCCTTAGACAGAACCTACTGCAGGCCTCAGAAAGTGCCATATCTATTCAACTAAAATAATTTTTCAGGATGGCAAAATACTGTTTTCTTTCTCCCACTGCCAAAATCCCCGTCATTAGCCACTAATTTAGTTGTCCAGACACTGGGTCCAACCAGACAGACACTCCACAGTTTAAAAGGAATACCACAGAGTCACAGGTTTAAATCAGTGAAGCCCATTCCTACCAGAAGGACTTGAGGAAGATCAGAGCTACCCAGCTCCTCATGCAGTACTATGTCCTGTGGTCAGATAATATACTGATCTTCTGGTACACGTCCCAGATTTGTGATTAGAGATCAGAATAGGAGACTTCCCTAGGCCCCGCTCCTTTCAAGAACTCCGTGTACGACAAGGAAGGAAGCAAGCAAACAAGTCTCTGGAGTTCAAGTAAACATCCAGGTCATGGTCTGTTTTTAATTCTGGATTGCATAGGCACATGCCTGTTCTGGAGACAATGGCAACAGCAAAGCTCGAGTATTCACAGAAATTCATACTAGTGTGCAAAGAGAGGAGTTAGACAGGTTGTCCAACTCCAGCTTCTTGCCAAAAAGAAGAAAGACAGAGCCACAGTTTTTCGTGCTTCATTTTCTTCAGAGTGATCACTTTCAAACTCAGCTGCTTTACTGGGAGTCAGATTACGGCATGCTCTCACGCGGGAAAGAGGAAAACGGAGAAAGAAGAGAAGAAACAGAGCAGGAGGAATGGATTACAAAAATTCCTCTTTGCACATATTACATTTAAACACCCCTCTCCCACAAGAGGGTGGGGGCCATCCCTTCTGTGTAACATTGCCTAAGGCTTACTATCCGACAAACTTTGCCCTCCCTCTGGAGCTCTACTAGAGCAGCTATTATTTCACTTTTCCCAAGCCCTCAGCTCCACTCCTCCTCTGAAGGAGGAGTGAATGAACTATAAGACTGTGTAAGTAACGGGAAGAAACTATAAGACTATATGTAAGTAAAGGGGGAAATCACACCTGAAGTCAAAGTCACCAAGTTTCTCCTGCCACCAAACCTGAAGGAAATTATGGGCATGAGAAAAAAAAAAAAAAAAAAAAAACACACCACCAAACAATTGGAACGTACAGAGTCAGGAACCGCTGCTCCATTCCAAGAGGCCATCACTGTACCGGCACAAAGGGAAAGAAGCTTAACCTAGAGCCCAGAAGTTTAGCTGTCAGACTCCAGTGCTTTTGCATAGCATTTCGTGACTCAGCTTTACCAAAAACATTGCTGCCGAGCTGTGAAGTTTTATAAAATATGCAAATAAAACACAGAGGTGGAAGTGAAACTGTTGAAGAACTAACTACCATGGTTTAACCTCAGTTGGCAACTAAGCACCACACAGCTGCTCGCTCACCCTCCCCCCTGCCCAATGGGATGGGGGAGAGAATCTGGGGGGGGGGAAAAGTAAAACTCCTGGGTTAAGATAAAGACAGTTTAATAGGACAGCAGATGAAGAGAAAAATGAAAACAATAATAATAATAATACAAGTGCTGCACGATGCAATTGCTTGCCACCCACTGACCGATGCCCAGCCCGTCCCCAAGCAGCGATCGTTGCACCCCAGCCAGCTCCCCCCAGTTATACACTGAGCATGACGCCATACGGTATGGCATAGCCCTTGGGCCAGTCTGGGCCAGCTGTCCTGGCTGTGCCCCTTCCCAGCTTCTTGTGCACCGGGCAGAGCATGGGAAGCTGAGAAGTCCTTGACTTAGTGTAAGCACTACTTAGCAACAACTAAAACATCAGTGTGTTGTCAGCATTATTCTCATACTAAATCCGAAACAGGGCACTATACCAGCTACTAGGAAGAAAATTAACTATCCCTGCTGAAACCAGGACACTAACTCAAGATTCAAGCGAAACATTTCACCATGAAAGTTACAGAACTCAAAGAAAAATCTCACACAATTTAGCAGCAAGATCAAGACTCAGCCTGTTCTGAGGAGCAGGAGACTGACAGTTCCCCTTCTGACTGATGACTGCCCGACCAAAGATTCACTTGTGTGCCATCAGTTTGATAATCATTCATACTTAGCCTAGCACTGTGTTATTTCTACTAATCTACTGCCTGCGTTAACTGCTAAGTAACTGCGGTGCACCTTGGATGTTCTGTATTCATTGCTGGAGATAAACCCAGCTCTGGAGATCTCCAGCTGTACCCATGCAGCCTTTTCCTTCCACCACCTATCCAATCAGTTACTTCTTTTTGGAATAGCAATAGGAAAGTCACAAATTGAACCTCTTGGATGAAGTACATCTTATTGGCAGTAACCGAGACGATCTTTCATTTGACTTACATTGTCCCTGCTTTCCAAAATACTTTTGCCTCAGCTCATTACAATTCCTCCCAGATAGCACAGTTGAACCATCTCATACGGAAAACAAAAGCACTTACACTCTTTACAGTTGGAGACTAAACAACCGGTGTACGTAATGCAACAAAGCACATTGCACAGCTTGTTAATAAAGGAGCAGGAACTTTTAGCAATGAGTTTAATTGTCACCACAGATCGCACACTCCTTGAACAACATGAGAAAGTACACTTACTTTGTCCGCTTTTACTTCTCTAATACAGACACCCGAGTCAAAAGAGATTACATTACACTAGACATCAGATTCACATTCCACAAAATAGAGAGAATCACATATGATTAGGCATCTTCCAGAAGCACATTAAAGTATTACATGGATGACTGGCATTGCATGGAGAGTAAGCATAGGTTCCTTCTATTTGAGATTGAGTACTACCAAGAATAACTACTATACCTGCTGGCAACTGCTTCTGGTACAAACACAAGGCTCAAGTCCATCTTTTAGAGGCAGCAGACCGCCCTAATCATTCTAACATCACACCCACCCACCATGGTAAGGATGACGTTAAAAATACCAAACATGAAGATGTTTCAGTCAGCAATTCTTTTTTAGCGAAGGCTTCTAATGCTGTGCTGCTCAGAGAAATTAAGCGCTAGGATTTGCGACAATAGCCATTTAAATGGTACAGCAGGTTTTCTTCACAGAGACCAAGTTTAAGTTACTTGTTCACTTGTCCTTGTTCAGTTTTATAATAGTTTGGGGTTTTTTTCCCCTATAATAGTCATAGTTGCAGATCCACAGCGTACATGGAAGTATACAAGCAGGTAATTTTGTCATGGAAAAGGATCAAGCTACAACAGCATATAAGGGGAAAAACATCTACATCAAAGAACCTTTAGTATTTTAAAACCATATCTACACCCAGGATGGAGATACTGCTTCAATATACAGTTGAAACTTTTAATACTCAGGGCTTTGCAGTTTTACCGTTATGGCAGAGCATAGAAATTAGGAATGCTTTACTCACCAGAAGGTATCCTCGAAACTGGTTGTATATTATTGCTGTAAGCAAGTTCATCAGAAACAAGTTGCCTATTGGAGAAAGAGAGACAGTAAGGATTATTAAAATGTATTTCTGTTTCTCAAAGAAGTTTCAATGTATATAGTAAGTCAGATGTAAACTTTTAAAAGGATTTGTTTTCTTGTGTTTTATTTCAAAAATGTTTTTCGTGTTTCATTATACTGTAATGTATCCATTCCCCTGTGATATGGTACTGAAAAAACCCAAACCATTCCTAAGTGCCTTCCATGAAAATTATCTTGCAAGATACTACACAGTAATTGGAAAAAACACAAAAAAGGAGAAAATTCTGATTAAACATTCCTAGAACAATAAAACACTGTAGCTGGTATGCACAAGTGTCAAAGTTAAAGTGCATTTAAATTACTGAAGACAAGAAGTAACTTACCTAATACAGTGAAGAGTATGAAGAAGATTGAGTATGCTCGATTCTTAGAATATGCAGGAATCATCACTGTGTCAGATTTAACAAAAAAGGAAATAACAATTTAATCCTTAAGATGAAAGCTGGAGACCTCTATCAATTTTCAGTAACTGGTAAAAGCTCTTATATAGCTCCACTTCAGAGATGCATATGTAATTACACCGAAGGAAAGGCAACAATCAAGTTTCTAAAGGCATGAGAAATCTTTACATAATCTTCCTCTGGCTGTATTAAGAACTATCAGCTGAAACAATGGTTATAGAAGTCTGAAGATAATCTTACTCTCTTATTCTTTGAAAAGAGAGACAAGAGTTACTTCTGAAAGATTGCTCACCATCAGGATTATTTGCAGTAGTTAGCAGGACCAGCAGTGATGTCAGTGATTCTGGCAAATTTCGGAAATACACCACCCACTCCTTATCCTGCTGGCCATCCTAGTCATAGAGAAACACTGAAGAATCACTAAGACTGTCTTACCAAAGGAGGGGAAGGAAGAAAGAAAAAAAAAACACCCACACCAACCCCCAAAAAAACCCCAAACAAATAATGGTCAATAATCAACTTCTTACACAATCAAATCTACCCCGTGAAAAAAGCACAAAACAAGCATAGAAACTAGGACAATGTGTAGGAATACAGTGCAATCACTTCGCTTATTAACAGCCATTAAAACATAAGGAAGAACAGCAAGCTAAGACAGACACAGCAAGCTCAATACAGAACTTAGGTCTAGCTAACACCTGAGACCCAGGAAGAACAATAATGTCACAAACAGACAACATAGGAATCTGAAGCCACCCTTGATTGATATAAAAAGCATCATCTCTTAGCCTGCAAGAGATATTAGTGTATTAGAGCTAAAAGGACTCCCTAAACATGATTAAAAAAAAAAAAATTATCACAACTAATACCATTTTCAGTCTCAACTTGCATTATAAAAATTAGTGTGGAGTAGAAGCTACTTGCTTTGTTGCTACAGTACGCTGTACCTCAGCATAGATGGAAACTAATCACCCTGAATTGTATACTCTAGGACTACACTGCAGGACTTGTCCAAAAGTATAATACAATTTGAGGACAATATTAGAACAGATCTTGTCTATACTGAAGAACAGAAATAAAACAAGGATGCAACACCTGGGTGACCCCGCAGCCTCCTCAGTAATGAAGAGCTGTCTCAGTAACTACCATGTGACAAAAAGATCTTTGCCAATAGATTATAAGCTCCTCCCAAACGCCTACAGCTCTACTAGCATACTCACTGAATGTGTCTCTCACTTCCCCTTTGACTTCCAAGTAGAAAACTCAACATCCTCTGAATCAGTTATTTGCACAAAAATTACTACCATTACTTGGAACAGAAGTTTTCCCCTTTCTCCAGCTATCCCCTTACATACTCAGGGCCATCTGTTCAATTACAGTAAGATCTACACAGAACACAGCCAAACAAGTTTTAGGTCTCTTTCCAATAACATACATGAAGATGTACTTAAAGTATGAGTGCAAGGACAGTCCTCACCTTATTTTAGAGGAAATAAATATTTACACAAATAAGGGCACACAATATAAAGCAATATGCTATAAGCAGCATTAGTGCACATTACAGAAGTGGTTGGGCAGGTGGAAGACATGCAACTGTTCTATTTTGAAAAGATGAAGATTCAAAATGCTACGTACAGTATCAGTGAAAACATCTCAGAGCTTAAACATCAGAGAGATCAGTGCTACAGCACCCAAAACAATATTTGGCCAAGGTCATCAAAATTATTTTGTGACTCAGCAGAAGCATCAGACAATCTGCTAAAGCTCTGATGGTATCAGAATGTTCAGCAAAAACACATTGGGAGGCTGTGGTGATCTTGGATCATCCACATATTTATTTTTTTCCCCAAGTTCAAGTAGAGACAGCTAAAAAAGATGCAGAGTACAAACAATACAAGCACGAATCATGCAGTACAGAACAAATAGCCCTGGAATCTGCTGCAAAGACTGGAAAAAACGTACCTCTAGAGGACATACACAAGACAATGCAAAAACCTAGAGGCTTGAATTTCAGTACTAAATGCATTTTTAGAACTTGCTTTCAGTGTTTTACCTTGTTAGATACAGTTACTTTGCATGAGTATTAGACTAGCAGATCAAAAAAGGAAAGAAAGACTGCTGTCTAATTTGTTATTTTTCACCTAAATGTATACAAAATTGACTGGTGTGGGTATAGAATTTATACTCCCACCTGCTGGGAAAGCTCTTAACTGAAATTACATGTGACATATGGAGATAATACAAAGATAGAGCATGCAACTAAACAAAGGGGAAAAATAGAGCTCTGCTGCTAATTCCAGAAATTCTGTAACACGGGAAATTCAAGGAATTTGCTGATCATAAGGAAGACTAAAAGCAGGCTCAAGTGTAAATAGCAGTAGGAGTGAAGGGCCAAAACTGCAATTAAAGGAGAGGACTAAAATTACTGGGAGAAGTACGCAACAAGTCTTTGTGCTCATAGGAACACATTTATGGAAGGCCTTAAAAAGTAAGGACAAAAAAAAAAAAAAATCTGAGTATGATACATTAAGATACAGGGAGTTTAGGAGAAAGAGAACATACCAAGAGCACTGGAACACAAAAGTGATTTTAACCACAAAATTTCAAACTTGCTTTTTGGAAGCACGAAGAGAAAAAACAGGAAAAAACAAAGAGATCAGAAACAAAAACATTGGAGAAATGCAGGCAAAACAGGCAAAAACCTACCAAGGCATGGCCAGGGATACCAGTATTGGAAGATAAGAAAACATAGAAGAAACTAAACTTAGCAAAAAGCTAGATAAGGAAAAGAGGAAAGAAATAAGTGATAATATAAACAAAAAAGTGACAAGATTAAGACTTTTGGACACGGAACAGCATAGAAGGTTTCAACAAAAGCAGAGAAAGTAACTCAAAGGATCAAATTGGAGAATTGCATAAGGAAGCCTCTTGTATAAACAGACTTTAAATTCCTCACCTGTGATAATGGCATCAATACCAGTACTATGCAGGGCCATCAGTAAAGATCTCAACCACATGTTAGAATGGAACCATCTAACTTCGCTCTGAGCAGCTGAGCTAGACTAATAAAATAATATGCTACAGTTTACAGCAAGAGTGAAAGATTTCAGTTGTGGAGTAGGAAGGAGCGTTACCACTTAAGAAACAAAGCACAGTCTGGAAAAAAAATCTTCACTAGAGGATGAAGAGATTCTAACACTATTCTGAGGGGCCTTCTAATGCACGCTAACATAAACAGCGCTATACATGCACACATTAAATCTCTCTAAATGGACTTTAAATACATCCCAGTAAGTTTGACAAGGTAACATGACCTTTTCAGGGGAAACACGTTTCACCAGTCTGATTATAAAACTAGACATGCAGCAGCCATGCGAGTAAAGTCAAAAAACCCACCGAGATCTATCAAAGCATAAATATAATTGATTACCTTTGTTCGAGCAAACAGCAGCATGGCAAACATGGTGAAGAGAGACAGATGAACAGCTAGTAATAGAACAACACTGTTGGAAAGAAAAATATATCACATGCGTTAATACCAACTTTATCTTATTCTTAATATCCTTTGCTAAAAATGCAAAAGGATGCCACATAAAGAAAACCAGGGGTATTTTCAAGAGCTATATAGAGATAACGGAAGATGATCTAAGTTTTGATTAAGAATAAGAATCACACTTGTTTAAGACTCCTCAGCACGAGCTTAGACAGTTGTGAGGTCAATGAGATTCTAACACTTGTTTTTCTAAGGCTAGGACCATATTTATACCCTCCAATCAAAATACATCTTGGCTTGCATACACTTTTGATTCTCCTGGGACTTGTTAGTTAAAAAGTAACAGGCAAGGACAGTGAGCTCGATAAGCTGTACACATACATGATCTATGTCACAGGAAGAGATCTCTTTCAAAAAGCATCATGCTGTCTGGTTACGATTTCACCAGTGGGGTTTCCAGTTCAACATTTCTAATGACAGTAAAATTTAATACACACATTGCTAAAACCATTTAGAAATGAAAAAGCTGAAGTAAAGCACTCTGAAGATGTAAAGAAAGAGGTATCTTGTTGTGTGGCATTCATAACCGGAAGCAAGTACATGTCTATCTACCCATACCTCTGAGAGGCTACCTTGGAGAAACACGGCATAGACCTTTCCCCAGACGATGCCTCAGTTCTTCCCTTACAGAAGGGTTGTATGTAACATATACAGAATTAAAAAACCCCACTCAACTAGCATCAGAAACCTTATCTGTCACATAGAGTCACATCAAATGCATTCTAGAGAAATTTTACACACTAAAGGAACCAAAAGGTTAACACAACACTCCATCCATTACTACCTGATCTCACCAACCACTTAGCCAGACCATCAAGAAGGAAGCTACTCAGACGTCACACTCAAGAACACTAATGGTAACTACACACTTGCTGTGAAAAGATGTTTTCTATGCTATTACCTACCTTGCCATTTCAGGCAACGTGCTGTTGATACTTTTTAATGTTTTCTTCATCATAGAAGAATTCTGAAGGAGAAAGAAAGGACGAAGAATTCTTCTTATTCTCACATTCTGCAAAAAACAACGGATCAGATACTGAGTTCCCAGAAGACTAGCACTACAAATATTTTTAATACAAGTTTGTCAAAAAACACTGATATACATATTGACAAAGTCAACAGTGTAACATAAAAAGGCTGTGCTTGGAAACTAAATCTGTCCCACTGAAGCCACAAAACACACAGAAGAGATTTTATACATATAGGTGCCTCATTAAAAGAATGAGAGATTGCTTTGAAAATGCACATTGACATTTCAATAGCCTCATCAGGCCACTAATTATAAACAATCTAACTTTACTGCTGGGTAGACATAACAAGCAGGTCAAGAGACGGCATTTTCTTATTTTCTGCCAAGGTCCATTTCAAGAAGGGAATTAATAGCAAGCTACTTGCAATAAAAACAGATACACATTTTGAAAATAAGTGCTTGATTTCAATTTTAAACTTTTTTTTTTCTTTTTATAATTAAAGGGCCTGCTTATTACTCAGCAATTTCTGCCTGACGAGACTCAAAACAGGTGATTGCCTTTATTTTCCCTAACATACACTAAAGCAAGTAAACTATTTGATTCTTGCATTCAAAACACTTCCCAGCCTTCAAGTTATTTCTGTGACTTATCAGCATCCTGCATTTTAGGATCAGTCTTCTCAGGGCCACACATAACAGGGGAAAAAAAAAAAAAAAAAAAAAAAAATCACTTTCTTCCTCGCTATTCCCTTGTTCATACATCCCAGCAGTTAAACTGCATCTTCTGCCACTGCTTTGTACAGGAGACTCCTTTTCAAACTACTTGTCCACTATCACAGCTAAAGATTTTACAATCGCTTCTTTCCAAGACACATTCCTCATGTTGTAAGCACAAGCTTCATCCTAGGTAATTAACTTCTTTCAGCCACGTTATATTTATTTGGCTTGAATGTTAAAAGGACATATGCATTTTTCTTATAGTTAGATGCTTATAAGCTTAAGTGACATGTTCTTTTAACTTCTTAGGATCATCTCTTTGATACTACACCACATCCTGGTCAACAGTGACCAGTGGTCAACTGTGACCACTGAAGCATGAACAACGAAGCAGTGGGTTACTAACAGTAGCACCTGCATCCAACCTAATCCTGACCAATACAGACAACAATTTGAAATAGGTTTGAAAGTTATCTGATAGCAACAGATAATGGCTTTGACACAAGAGTTTACACAAGAAGCAAAATTCAGGATTTTAATTGAAATTTTTACAAAGTTTCAGTTTTGCAAATCAAAATTCAAAATTCTGCCTCATTTACCTCCCAGCATTTTTACCATATTAGTATTTGCTGAATGATGATCGTAAGTGAACAACAACTAATTTCATGCAGATTTATGCCATGGCAGAGAAAAACAATTGGGAGATTGCATTATTACATAAAGGAGGACACTTTTAGAACCATTTCACAAAGCTGACATTCCTCTCAGGACGCAATTGTTTTGAACACGACACAGCTTCATCTTAGAAAGCAGTTGTTAAACTATACAATTACCTTTTACTTAGACATCACTACATAGACTCCACCATTAAATCAAGAACATAGTTCTCCAACTGCATGACAACATTAGCGCTATGCAGCCAGAGTTTTCTCTACACTCTTTGAATGTTGACAGACTATAACAACAAGGCTTTATTTCATTTTACCGATGAAATCACATCTTCTATTAAGAATCAAACAGAACCCCTTGAGAAGCTATATTACACCAAACATATTCTGTGTTTCAGTGTACTATCCAGCTATCCAAAACCAAAAATGAACCATCTCACCCTTCCGCCTTAATTCTCCAATATATCACATAGGCCCTGCTGACTGTCCCTTTGCAGGTTCTTGTCCTCTGCCACTCTCCACAACTAAGTTGCTGATTGTTCCTGCAGAAAGCAGTTCTTACCTCTGTGCAGAAAAAACTCAGTGATACAATCCAATCAGTAAGGGAAACAATTAATGTCAGTATATAAGCCATAAGCCATTTATTTTTCCAAAATTCTTCCCATCCAATTAAGTAACTCTGGAGAGGGAAAAACAAACAAACAAACAACTTATTTTAATAATAAATTCCAATAAATTCCCTAACAAGTCAGCACCAATTGTTTTTGAAATATTTGTAGTTTTACATCAGTGCTCATAAAAAGCTCCCTGAAACCTGAACAAAAATACACTGATCACAGAATTTTTCTATAAGAATTAAACAAAGGTCAGTAGAAGTGAGAGGTGCACACAGGCCATGTGATAGGAATCCTTTGAATGCAAGAAAAATGTCCATTTAATAGCCATAAAAGAGATTTTTTCAGAAACAAATATCCAAAGAAAAGTTCAGTTTCTGATTATTTCTATTTCGCTTTGTTTAAATGAACTGGCATACATTTATTATATACCCCAATTTTTATAGCCTAATACAAGCAGCTAAGCTAAAGTCATTGTATTCTTAGCAAAATCTATTTCACTTATTCCACACAAACAGGAGTGTATATTTCTTAGGTTAAAAAGAAAAGGCTTTTTTTTTTTTTAATTGAGAAAATATACACTTCCTAATTCCTCCTGAAAGTAAGGCTTTAATATAGCAAAGCAATCTCATCATCCATATTTAAATCCAAGATTTAAATAACAGCTTTAAGACATTTCTCCCAAAATATAAAATGGAGAAAAGCCACACTGACTATACCTACTGAGTTGCCCACCACACCTAGTATTTCATTCAATATCAGATGAATGTGATGCTCACCTTCACAGATACATCAACCACGAACACAAGAAAGCAAAGCAGCTCAATGCTTTCTGTTAGGCCACATGGAGGATTCCACGCAGGAAGGCGGTATCGTACATCTGACGTGACAGTAAGCGAAGAAGGCTTTTCAATGAAAGCCAAAGCCAGGATTATAGTAATGGTTAAACTCAAAATCCTGTTTGGATAGAGATGAAATTAGAAAAACCAAAACAAAAAAACACAAAACAAACAAAACATGCCAGAAAACACCAAACCCACAAAATGAGTCAAAAGAATAACAAAATACTTACAGTAAAGCAATTCTATTAGAGGTAAACGAAGCTTTATAATATCGTATTTAACACAAATGGGTTAGATCACAACGCAGCACTTGATTAGCGTGCTGTTGCCTGCATTAGAATAATGTAACTGCTGACCACCAAACAACCTTAGGCAGTGTTCTTTTGAAAACAACACCAGCAAACAATCTTGCGACTATTTAATATGTTTGGAAATAGACAATTGGAAAACTCTAACACACAGTGCTGTAAGTCATGCTAATAGTCTATTCATGCAACAGTCCTATGGATGTTCCAAAAAGCCATCTACATGATCACACTTTCACATATCTTCTTGCTTTCCACTTCTATCATGTTCACATGTAGTCAATCCACTTGCTTCCCACAGTAAGTTGCTATGAGGATAAAAGCCTAATTATCTAATTATTTAACAAAAAAGAGAGAGATGAATAATAATTTTTTTGTAAAGACTTACTCCTAAATGAAAAAGCAAAAAGAATACCAAGTTCTTACCACTGGCAAGTTCTTGAGTAGTACCATCGATAAAGCCACAGGGATTTGGAGTCCACACGGTGATTTATAGATCGATACTGAATGCAGAGAGCAAAAAGGATAATTCAAACATTACATTCAGTCTGTCTCAAAGACAAAGATCAAGTTACCAAAATAAACCAAGTTCTAATCAACAAAGCTCAAGTCTTGAGACAATTCCAGTTTCACAATAAGATACAGAAATTATTGTACAGGTTATTAATTATTAAAGTGTCAGTGACCAATGACCACAGCTGTAGCCTACCCAAGTGCAATGGGAAAGATTTTAATGAAGTTTTCTAATCTAAACACCACACAGTCGCTCAGATAATCAAACTGTGTGGCAGTCGTCTGAAGCAAGCATTATCATCATTACAAATAACAGCATCTGTAATAATTCAGTGCCTGTTCTATCTACTCGCCAAAACAGCCCACCCGTTTAGTTTACCTCTCTAGCATTCATTCCATTCATGGATCTTCCTTTGGCTTTCTCTTCCAAAAAGCCGTAAGATGCAAACAATTTAATTCTAAGAGACCTCAACGTAGGTCTTTAAACAAAACACGCTTTAAGTTCAAGGAAGTACCCGTGATTCTTCAGAACGGGACTGCTTTTGCAGAAATCTGCTCAGCCCCTCCTCAGCAGCTGCTCCTGGGCTGCTGTTACTCTGCCTCCGCTGAGGAGTATCTGCTTCCAGAAAGGTGTGTGCACCTTAAATAAATATATCTGATCCCCAGAAATCTCCCAACCAAAATCTACCCGAATGCAGCAAAAGAGTTCAAGAACTGCCCTTCAGCATTCCCGCTGCCTGCAACTAATAACTGGGAGATAACAGGATCTAGGAATCCGCAGTAATGGCCAGTAAAGGAGAGACAATGAAGAATTCCAAAGGCACCAAGTTCAGCTGAAGCAAAAGAGTTCTAACTTCGCGCTTGAAGCTAGCCTTAAACTCTTAAGCTCTTAAGCTATGCAAGTAGTCAGATTTAGAGGCAAATTACAGGGTTTGCTCAGATAGTTTCTCTTAGCAGTAAGGCCAGTCACTCCCAAAAAAAAACCCCCAAAAACCAAACACCACACCCAAAACCACCCCACAAACCAGCATCTCTTTCGACAACCTTGAAGAGAAGACACTATCTCTTTCATCGTGTGGAAAAACATGTTTCTCCTAGGCAGAAGTTCACTGAAACTTGCACACCACAGGAATGTGGAATTCTGATTTTGCTTTGTAAATCAAGATGATGTTATATGGAGGTTGCCTGAACACACAAAAACTTAAAAGCCAGTAGAATGTGCGACAAATATCCAGCACGGGACGCATAACAGCTAACAAACAAGTTATATTTACCTGTATTGCATCTTCAATAAATACAATAGCTTGGTTTATATAAAGGTCATTATCAGCTCCAGTACCTATGAAGTTAAAAAGAAACAAGAATCACTTGCAATATTTTGGATAAAGCCTACAGCTTGCTTATTAGTTAAACAGAAGCTCCACAACCGTGATTCTCCTGACAAAGGGCGCTGTACAAACACAAAAAGCAGAGACAGCTCCTGTCAGATTTGCTCCGTCAGCAGCACCGTGCATTAAGTTAAATCAATAATAATCTCAAACGCACCATGCATCTTCCTGTATTTTGTGAAAAGGTTCTCTCTTACATTTAGCTTAAGTAGCTAGATAACACTGGTAGTTAAATAGCTATCACAAGGCTGGACTATTTCTATACAGAGACAAGTCTTAAGTAACAAGCATTGTAATGGAGCTTCAATCAAATTATTCTACGACAATGTATACAGTCAAGTGAAGCTGGAAAAGTCAGACACTAGTATTCTAGGCATTTTTACTTTTGTTTGATAAAGGTACTGAGGTTTAGATTGATCTCGTTCTCTCCAAAACCAACAGAAATCTCCAGTCAGATGAAAACAAAATTAAGTCCTTTCTTAATCTGTCCTGAGAGTTATTATTACCGTATCAAACAGATGAGAGTTCAAGACACAGAAAGGGGTGAAAGTACACAAAGTGAAATAAAATATCACCAAATTAGTTAGTATGCAATATTTCAAAACCCATTACTAAGAAGTCCGTACGAAGATATATACATAAAGTATAAAGGGCAATCACTTGCGCTCACTTGAATTAGGACCTTTGAGTCAATTAAGCCAACAAGAAAGACAAAGGCAGTTAAGGCCAAAATGGGGGGGGGATGAGGGGGCTAGGGATACAAAAAATACGTGCTAGTGTAACCTTCCCACCGAGGGGAAGGGGCCCAAGGAGCACTTCATACCATCTCCTCCCAGGAGACGGCAATGACAGCATGGGATACAAGGAGAAAGAGTCAGTCCCAGTGCTAGCACAGTGTTCTCCAGATGCCAAGCAATGCCAGAAACACCATTGATCTGAGTCCCAGGCAATTTTATGTTCCACATGATTCAGCGGCATCAATTTTCTGCAAAGACTGCAAGCAGTTTTTAAATGTCACCGTTTATCTGAGCATACACAACAGCACGGTTTTGTACCAACTCTGATGATATGAACCACGATGCAAGAAAGACTGAGCATAAACAGGAGACAAGCTAGACTCACGCAATAACGATCTTATCTTCTTCAAGGCATGACGCACCAGTGAGACAAAAATGAAATTGTTTAAAGGAACAGTATTAGTTACAAGGATATCAAGGACAGCAAAAGCTTTAGATTCTTGGAGCACACACCACAAGCCTAGCATTAATCCCAGCTATTTTGAAAGGGCAGAATCTAAGCAACTGCTCTTAATATAAAACTAAAACAGGGAAATTACCAAGAAATGTTTACTTTAGCAATTTCAGGGTTTGTTTTTTTTAAAAAAAGCACATTTTCCATGCATGCTACTGAGGATGCCCGATTTATTCTGCAACTCTTAGTCACAGCAAGTGACACTTAGTCACAAGCGATGACCGAAGTACCGCTCGGTTTGGCCGTGCAGGATCTGTCTCTGACCCCACTGCACTTTCGACACTAAACAACCAGGCAATAAAGAGAAAAGGTTCACTGAAGTGATGCGATAGCCTGAAAATAGAGAACCTGAGGTCTCCAAAGGAGCCTTTGCTGGGGGAATTGAGAAGTCAGACCGCCAACGTGTACTGAGCTAGAGAAAAAAAAACTTGTCAGCAGCTTAAAAAAAAAAAAAAAAGTTAAAAACCAACAACAACAAAAGACCCAAGTGTCGGGCTGAAGCAGCGCAAGGTTTGCACCTCAGGGCAGCGGCAGCGGCTCGGTGTGTTCCACCAGGCAGGGCGGCCGTGGCTGG